ATATATGGACATATATTTAAGAAAGCCGATAAAATGACATATATAGATGTCGAATACCCTTTTAACCGAACGAGTGAAATATCAACCTAATAGCATCATGAAAATACTTCACCTACGATACCAATGCCTTTCACAGAAGTTCTTTCTAGCAACAGAATAGTAAAATATCACATTTGGCGTCTTAGGAATTTTCCAAAATTCGTGCTAAAAGGAAGGACGAAGCTTAGCCTTAACATACCTCTCCAACGAACGTCCGAATGCCTGTAGTTCCTTCACGAAAGTTGTTCCTTACGTCCTAAGCTTCGAAACCACTATATATATGCAGCTTATACGTACCTATAAACAGTTCATAAATGAGTTTAAATCGGCAGATTTGCCATATGATGACGAAATACCCAATGTGCTATACCCAATCATATATACCTAATATAACCACGCCACGTTACGTATATTACGTAAGAGAAGAGAGAAACACCTGGGGTCTCACAAGTTTGATAGATCTTGACATATGATTATGAAAGAACAAAGAGGTTGATGCATTTCAATAAAATTTGATAAGAAAGTGATGATACAAGTCAGAATCAACCATTATTTAACGTAAATAAAAATAGATGCATTTTATAGTTGTTTTAAATATTATATCCCATTAGAGGATCATAAATATTTCTAGATATTTTTTAAAAGAAAATGTTATATAAAGTTTTAAAAGTATATATTTATATGCCGGTTTGATTCGTTTTTTTTTTACTTAATACCAAATCAAACCTAATCGAATTATTTAATCGATTGTTGGTTTGACTGTTCCATTTGGTGCGATTTTTCGGTTTGTTTAGAACACTAATGGTAACACTCATTTACATTTTTATCCATCAAGTGTGACCAAATCTCTCTTTTCATACAGTTTTAGATAAATATTAATATGCAGAATTTGGTAATGACTTCAATTTCAGTGGAGAACCCTACTTACCTAAGGTACCTAGTTTCAAAAGGAAATAAGGGGGGAAAAGGAATGTAATTGTTTTTTTATTCTATTTTTCTTTTATTTTCCTTTTTTTCCCCATCTTGATGCAGAAAAGTAATTTTATTAATATTAAATTTGACAACATCTCTCTCTTTGTGCAGTTTTAGATAATATTTAATGAGCAGAATTGTTATGGTAAATACTAGTAATACTGAATCATCTCTTTAGGAAACCAAATTTAAACGTACCTAGCATAGAACCTCCTTTTCATTATATATGTTACCTAAATCATTCCCACATAAAATATCTATAAATTTGAAGTTGTTAGGCATCGGAAAAACATAATAATTCAAGTAAAGAAATACACAAACTTAAGAGTCACTAACACAAAATTTTCAATGGCAGCATTCACCAAAGTCCTTGGCTTAGTTCTTTCTCTTGCTTTCATTGCTGAAGGTATATATTAACCTTTCTTATTCTTCTTTTATTCCTTCTCTCTCTCACACACAGACATTCTTCTATCTCTCAAATACTCAAAGCAGAAATTAGATTTTCTCTTCTCTTTATATTATTTTGTGATACTTTTGATTATGTTATGAGAAAGGTAGCCTTAGAGCAAACAGTAAAGTTGTCTCCATATAATCTATAGATCACGCATTTGAGCTATAAAATCAGCCACCGGCTCTTGCATCAGGTATGATGCTTGCATCACACCCCTTGGGATGCAACCTTTCATGAACGCAGGATACTTCAGACTGTTTTTATATATTATTATTATTATTATTATTATTATTATTATTATTATTATTATTATTATTATGTTTGGATACACATGATGTGATATGAATGTTTTTTCTTAGCATTAATATATGATTAATTGAAAAATAATCACCCTTCATCCAGTTTTTAGATGATACTTATTACTTTTGGTACCTTAGTAGTAGCAGTAGGTGCAATCGCACTATTCTATTGCCTTTAGTTCGGACTTCGGACCCATATGTATGAAACAAATTTTAAAAATACATTGATACTTAATTAAAATCATCTGACTCTAAAATACCCAAAATATTCAAGAATTAGAAGAAAATGAATACAAACAGCTAATTAATTCTTTTCTTCCTTTTTCAGGAATTGATGAGGGTTTCAGATGCAATCCTGGAATTGTTATTAGCCAAGAAAAACTTAACGGAACTGTCAACGGACAACAAGTATGGAATGCAACTGTGGAAAATACATGTGATTGTGTTCAACTTCATGTTTCACTAAGCATTCCCAATTTCGATTCTGCCGTTAAAGTTAACACTGCCGTTATCTCCAAATCACATGATGATATCTATGACGTTAATGGAGGTCTTCCAATTTACCCACACAGTGGTGTCTTCTTCACTTATGCTGGCCAAAATCTTAACGTTACAACAAATGATCGCACAGAGGCTTGTTCTTGAAAATATTATTATAGAGAATTTATTTTCCTTGATTTCTATTGGTTTATACTGTAAAAGAAAAATTATTTCTGCTTGAGGGAAATAAATTAAATTGCTTTGTATTGTTTAAGTTTAAAATGGAGTACTAGAATGATTTGTTGAGTTTGCTGTTTTATGGATGCTTTATATATTTCCAAATAAATTAAGTTTGTTACGGTAACATTGAGTTTGATTTTTATTAAAATATATTTGTCCTTCTATCCCAAAGATACGTGAGCACACATGAAACTAGTGTTTGAATATAGATTTTGTTGGAAAAAAAGTTAGGTGAGCGGAAGAAAGTTTTTACCAATAACTTCCCTAAATCATTTTTGGGAACTTAATTTTTTTCCCCAAAAATTGATCATATTCTTGAACAAAAAAACTTTCAAAGTTTTTCGAAAAAAGTAGCCAAAATCTATAGCCAAAGGGGAGCTTTATAAAAGGTGGTTTAAAATGGTTTTTTATGTCCTACATACCCCTAAAATACACTAGTTGGGGTTAAAACTACAATCTTTTAAAATCTATGAAGACTGCGAAAAGTAAAGTAAATAGAAGAAAAAGACTCATACAAGCGATACCAACTAGTTGGGTTAAAACTTTGTGTTGTTTATGCACCCGCATTAGTCTAATAGTTGCCAGGAGTTGTTTTATATATTTTTCTTGAAGATTTGTGTATATATCAGTAGAAAATGCAGAAAACTTTTAAGGTTAGATAAATTTTGAATATTGGAATGATATATATGTCTAAATGAAGCGAAATGGATAATGAGGATTTATACAGTTCACCTTAATTAACTTGAGATCGAGGCTAGTTATGTTCTATTCAAAAATAAGTTTTTCTTTTGACTGTTATTTTTCGCAAACATCTTAAATAAATGCTGACAACGAGAAACAACAATCTATTATTAATTCTACTTTTTATAATTGCTTAACTCCAAAGTTTTCATTCTTCTTCTGATGAAGGAGAAAAATTTACAGATCTTTCCGACGCTTGGAAAATTGTTTGTTCCTTTCTTTTTTATTTTTCAAAAGGAAGCTTATAAATATTGCAGACATCTATTGTTTTTCATGCCTTCCGGTGCAGGTGTTTATCCTTAATTTCACAGGCTATTTGGAAAATATTTATCTACATTTGATGTTGCTGTACGAAACCATTAGAGCGAGCTCAAGTTCCAAATTTGCATTTTGAAACATTAGTTTTGATTATGTTCATTTTGAAACTTGACATCCTTTTTGCATGATTAAGATAACAATGGAATATATGTTTTAAAAAAAAACATTAGTTTTGATTTAGGAAGTTAGACCTCTTGTAAATTGATTAAGGCATTTGGTGAAAATTAAATTAAATTAGTCTTGGCCATGCTGTACTAATCGCGTCGCATTGGCTAATGGCTATTTCCAGTACGATCTTTCAGATAACATGACATGAATAATTGGCGTTAAATGAATATTGTTCTATCTCTCTATAACAACATCCTTATATAATAATCATTTTCTATAAAAGTCAAGTTTTATCCGGAACCTATTTTTATGTTATATTTTATCTCTATATAATAACTTTTTATCTATAAAAACAACATCCATCTTTACAACAATACGCTTTTTATTAAATTACCCCTTTATAACATTCATGTATAATTTGTAATAAGATCACTAATAATAAGTTTAAATTTTTTGACCTCAACCTACTGCCACTTGGACCGAGAGATTCAATTGTTAACCTCTTAGATTGCTTTCAAGGGAAAACTATTAGGTATTCTTTTGCTGAAAGTTTAGACACAAATCTTTGCTGATTCAAGCGTTATATCGCCAGTAAGAGACTGGAATCTACTAAACAAGCTACAATTACGTAGTTTTTCCATCAATCTTGAAATAATTTAATCTTCTAGTAGCTTTACAATGTATGTGATGCTAGGCTAGAAATCCGTATTTTAGTCATAGTTTGTACTCTAATCACTGTATTTTACTTGTGTTTGAGCTTAAATAATAGTGAATTGCACTTATTATGTATTTTATGTCTTGCAGGAAGTGATTCTGAGTTGAAAAGATAATCGGTGCTAAATCGAACAAGTTGGAGCTTTGAAGTATGAGTTTGTCTAAGAAATTAAACTGGAATCGCGTTCGGGGGTCGAGAGCCAAGTCTGGATATCAAAACATGATGAAGAGGAATTACTTTTTAAAACATACACAGCCGCGCCGCATGGGGCGCGACTGTGCAAGATGGCTAAGCCTATCAGAAACAAGTCCCTGTAATTGTCCACTGGCGCACCGCGTGGGGCGGCGCACACTGCGACGTGCCAGTGAAATTTTCGTAGAGTGTTTTCCTGTTTCGGTTTGGAAAGGGTAGTTTCGTCCGGGCCCACTCCTACATGGTTTAAATACACCAAAAATACGATTTTGAGGGGACTGTTTTTGGAAGTTTTGGGAGAGCATTGGAGGCTACAGGACATAGAATTTTATCATCTTTCCACCAATTCAATACGAGAGTTTGGATTGTAACGTTAGATTGATGTTTTCTCGCTCTTTAATATTTTTTGTGATGACTTCTTCCATAATTATAGAGTAGTTTACCTTAGGGTTTGACATGATCTGGTGACTTGGTTGTTGTTTATGGATTGACTAATATTTAATTGCTTGAATTTATTGGAGAAGCTTTAATATAGTTGTGATTTTATTCTTTATAGTGTTTAATCGAAAGAGGAACATCTTATTGAATATCACTGCAGCGTATGTCTTAGTTTATTTTGGTGATTCTTTGAAGTGATCGAGAGAGCTTCTTGAGTTACCGTTTAAATTAAGATTGACAAATTTTCGCGAGAAGTTTCTCTTAGATTAGTCCTACGAAAACAGTGACATTTAGAAGGGAAATTCACAACTTCTACAAGAAGGACACTGAAACAGTTTTCGAGGCTTGGGAAGATTCAAGGAGATAGATAGAAAGTGTTAGCATAATGGGATTGAATTGTAGATGCAACTCCAGGACTTTTGGTATGGACTGACATCTTCCTCATGACGAACTCTGAGTACTGCAGTTGGAGGTCCTTTAATGAAGAAGACTCCTGAGGAGATTGTTGTAATTCTTGATGAGTTCTCTGAATATGCTAACCAATGGCCTGCTGAGATTAATGATAGAAGAAAATCAGCTGGGTTCATTAAGTAGATTCTAACGCATCAGTGCAAGCCCAGCTAGATGCCTGACCAAAGAAATAAGAAAGTTGACCTTAGCCAAGATCCAAAGCCAACCATCATTAGTTTGTGACTTATGTGGAATGAGTCATCCAACGCATGATTGTCAGGCCTCAACTGTAGATGAAGTGATAAATGCCGTGGTAAGCTTTGACAGAGGCAACTACCAGAGTGGTAGTAATTTTAACTCTATGGAGTAGAGGCACCCAGGCTTTTCTTGGAGTTCACCAAATGGTAGTCTAAACTTATGGCAGCTGAATAATCCGAGACTCTAAGGACAAGGAGCTCCAGGATTTTAGAATCAGCAGAGGCAGCAATACCAGCCTCCACATTCTAATCAATCTAGCATGGAAGATCTAATGACGACTTTCATTATTAAGACCAATGAGAGATTTGAAACTCATAGTGCAGCTATTCGAAACTTAGAGATACAAGCGGGCCAGATTGCTAGACTGTTATCTGAGAGGTCTCCAGGAACCCTCCATGCAGATATTGTGAATACCTAATTTTTGACCATGCTTAAATTTTCTCCACTCATCTCCCCAATACATAACTTTCCACTTCCCCCACTCTTACTCTTTACAACTCACACTCCCACTCTCTCTTACACATACAACAAAAAGTCAAAAAAGGGAGGAGGAAAGAGGGGGACAACGAGGGGAAAAGGGTATGAAAAGAGGAGGAAGGAATCATCTTGCACCCAAAAAATCAGTCTCTAAAGCTCATGAAAGCGTGGTCACTTTCCATCTAACTTCAGCCACAAAAAAGCTCCCCAAAATCTGCTGAAATCAGCCCTAAAAAACCACCAATTTCCAGCCCCAAAATCACGCCAAAACATCCCCAAACTTTGCACCAAAACACACCTGAAACCAAGCTCTAAAACCAGCTTCATCTCCACCTCATTAAGCTCCAAAAATGCTGCCCTCAATCACCCCAAACCAGTCCCTCTTTTTTGTCAAAAAATGACACCCAAAGGCAGCCCAGAAACATCCCCGAATAAGCTGAAAATATCACTGATCGAGGCCAAACCTACACCACTATAGAGTAGCGAGGATGGTCGATGCAGTTTTACCCAATGAGGTCGGGAT